GGAGAATCTGAGGAGGGGGAAGGGGGAAGGAGGTAAAGGAAAGGAAGATAAAGGTAAAGAGAAGGAAGGAAAGGTGGAAAGGGAAGGGGAAGGACCTGGTCTTCCAGGCCCGAGCCACTTCAAATAGAAGATACAAAAAAAGCAAAGAAGAGAAGGGAAGGGAAAGGAGAAAGGGTGGGGAAAGGGGGAAGGAGGAAGGCAGGGGGAGAAGCAGAAGGGAAGGGAGAATCTGAGAAGGGGGAAGGGGGAAGGAGGTAAAGGACAGGAAGGTAAAGGTAAAGAGAAGGAAGGAAAGGTGGAAAGGGAAGGGAAGGCCCTGGTCTTCCAGGGCGAAAGGAGAAAGGAGACAGGAACTGGCGACTTTTTACACTTTTTTTCTACACTTTAAAAAATAACTAGCTACTTTTTCTACACTTTTGGGGTTCTTTAGCAAGTGGCCTGGGTTCACCTTTTCAAGCTCAAAAAAGGCTCTTCCAGGCCACTTGTCTTTTTCTACACTTTTTCTCCTCCATTTTCTAAAAATTGTACTCAATTTTTACAATTTTTTCTTCAAACAAGTCTCTGTCGGGTCTCTGTCGGGTCGGGATGCGACCCGGTGACGTCTCTGAGCTCAAAAAAAACGCGCCAATTTTAACGCATTTTTTTTAACCTTTTTGGAGGGCTGCGCTCTCTGTGTCTATTCCCCTTAACGGGTCCATCGCTCGGCCCGGCGCTGTGAGCTGGTTCACCGGGAGCTTCCTTGCAGAACTTTCTCTTCTCCAGGGAGGGAGGGAGGGAGGGAGGGAGAGAGCGAGAAAGAGTGAGAGCGCAAGGGAAAGAGAGCGGGCGGCTCATGTGCATTTTGTGCCAAAAATATTATTTCTTCTATTTGAAGACCTGTTGGTGAGCACGTTTATCAACCTGTTATCTTGACGCCTTTCTTCTATTTGTCCCGGAACCCTGCCACGGGAGGAATATGCAGACTTCTATTTGAAAAAATGTTTTAATATCTTCTATAATAAATTGGCGTACTATATTAATGGTTTTACTATGTTTTGTTAAGGATTTTACACTAAACGAGGTCAACCATTCAAAAGGGTCTTGGAAGGCTAGAGTTTTCATAACTTTTCCACAGCAGACGTGACATGGAAGGTCCCTTGAGATGGATAAGTTCATTCTTAGGTCGATGGCCATGTCTGATTTCATGCAGCTAAATCACCTGTAGCTGTAGCTGCAGTGGATTTCTGGCCGTGGAGCAGGTGGGTCGACTCTTCTTGTGGCAAGAAGACCCTGGTGTGCTCTACGAGTACCTCCCCGAGAACACTCGGCAGCCCGGGCACCTCCTTTTTCCAAGTCACGTCGAGTCGAGTCACGTCGATCGGGCACGTGGTCGAGTGGAAGACGAACGGCAAAAGATGATTCGTAGCTGAAGTCAAGAGACGGAAGTTGGTTGGAAGACTTCCATCGGAGTGGACCCCGTTCCTTCATACCTCCTGAGCCAAGCCGACCGGGACCCCGACCAAGCCCGGGAGGTTACAGGGTCGATGAGACAGGCCTTCACAAGGACAAGGCTCGGAGGCAAGTCCTCGGACTCAATTCCTTTGACCTTTCGTTCGATGGCATGACACTTTTTCTCCAGCCTGGATGAATAGACCGGACCTGGCGATAGAGGATCCCCAGATATCTTTCCACACCGTCGGTCCTTGGGGGACCCCTTTTTGCAAGAATCTCTGTGAACACAGGGCGGCCATCGGTGCCAGTTGGAGAAGACTTCGCTCGGCCTTCCAGACGACGTGTTGAGAAAAAAGACAGCTCCCTTAGAGACCCTCTTTCGGAATGGGAAAGGCTGTTACTGTTCAACATGCCACAGAAGATGACGCAGGGTCTGCTGAGCAGTTCGGAAGAAGCAAGTTTGGTACCTTCCAATTTCTTTGCTTTCTCCTTCCTATGTGCATCTAGCAATTGAACTGGAAGGTGTGGCCGTGAAAGGACCCCTACGGCCCTACAGCTGTCCCCCGCCTCTCATGAACTCTAATCTTCCGAAGCCCAACAAAAGTCCAAGAAACCCGCCCAAAAGAACACCCAGAAACTCAGCAGTAGAAGTTTTTGTTCATCTTTCTTCAAACATCCGACCGACCCAACGAAGCCTCAGATCCCGCGGCCGCGCGCGCTACGCGGCACGCTGGGCCCTGGCACCCGCACTGGCGCTCACGGCCGCGGACGCCTCGCGCGGATCCGCGCGGCTGGTGCTGAGCAGCTTGCGCTTGGGATCGGTGGAATGCCAGGAGGAGCGCCGCCAGGTCGAGGAGGTCATGTGTAGACTGTTGGACTCTTGATAATATTTCAAGCTCCCAGATGAAGAGGGCGAAATCAACCGCAGAATAGGGATGTTTTTTGGGGGGTTTGTCGGTCAAGAGTCTTCCTTAGGACGTGATGTAGGATCAGATGGTGGGATCAGTGTTGTGAAGCTGGTCAGGACTTTCACATGCTTGCAGTGTCTGTTTTGCGACTGGGCAAGTCAAGAAGTTGCCGATACCGTACTCCGCGCCAAAAACGGTGTGTGAAGAGCTAGCCTGGAAAATGTCTCTTCTCTGCCGTTGGATCAGTGCTCCAAAAATGCCAAGCATCAGTCCAGAGCTCAGCTCAGGAGCCCTGCTGGGAATTGCCTGGATTGCAACCGGCGCATGCGCGAGTCTTTCTGCAGGAGAACACCTGGTGGTTGGAGGCGGCGATGCTTCACAGCATGCTGAGCGCTTGTCATGCTGCGCCAGCGATGTGGGTTGGAGCAGCCGAGAGGTTTGAGCGGCCGATGTGGAGCAATTCCGGTTCACGGAGAGTGAGATGGTTCTTTTTGGATCTCTCAGACGAGACCGATCTCTCAGATGTCTCAGATCTCTCTCTCTCTCTCTCGCTCGCTCCCTCCCTCGCCAAATCGTCTGACGCAGGCGTTGCATGAGGATGCAGAGACCCTTTTGAATGGCCAACGGCTGCAGACCGGCTGCTCTGCTGCAAGCGATGCATCCCAGTGATGCATTCTGTTCTTTGCGATGTTCTTCATGACTTTGGATCATCCATTTTGCAGCTTGGCACTTGGTGTGTAATCCCAAATGCCAGGAAAAACTGGAAAGACATCAGGCAACTTCTCAGAGATGCACATGCCATTGATCCACTAATTTGGGGCCCGCAAAACCCACTCTACCAGGTGCCGCGCAGCGGATCATGGCGCCCGCGCTGCTGCGGCTGGGCGCTGAGGAGTTCTTCGTGGATCTGCCTGAGACGCCCGCAGGCGGACGGTTCCTTCACTCCGGTCGCCGACACGGCGATGCGATCGCGTCACTGGCGTCACTTGCCGGCAATCGACGGGTGTGAGCAAGTGATAGATGTTCGTTTTGGTTGGGATTTGTATGAGTTTTGTGCACCATGACCTGCCACCGACGTGCCTCGTCGCATTGACGGAGCTCCGCGCAGGCGCTGCACCGAGCGCCGAACCGGCTGCGGAGCGTGCAGCTCCGCGTGCGCCGGTCGTGTCGCGCAGCTTCGTGCCGCGGCAAGAGGCGGAACGGGCTTCGTGTCATGCGGAGCCGAAAAAGCAAAGACATGCAGCCCATGCACGTCCGAAAAGCAAATGAAGTAGCTTCATAAGCGATTTTTAGGGGTATGGTCAGACCCTTCACATGGTTAGTGTACAGCTGCAGGTCATTGAATCTGGAGCTATGAGAGCGCTATGATTTGCAATTGCCTCACGAAAAAGGCAACGTGCAGAAAGCTGCAACTCCCCTGCCTCCTTGGCTTCTCGACCTCACCAGCAAATCAGGTCTTTCAAACCCTTGGGTTAATCCGGATTTCTGCCACTGGTACAACAGCCCGACACCAAGCGCCGACGACAAAAGCCGAGTGCCATCCAAACCGCCTGTGGTCTGCGCGGCTCTGGGTGGTTGGCACTCGGTTTCCTCGTATGAACTCGAAGTGTCACAGGGAAAAGGTGCAATAAAGTGGAGCGGTGCAACAGACCTACCTGGACCAAGGGTGTCCTGGACAGGGAGCTCCCTGATCGTAGTGGGCTGGGGCGAAACCAGCCAGGTGACCCCTTTGAAGGTGCTGGTAGAGCTACCAACTATGCACAATTTCTGCATTTTCTTTTATATACTACTTAAAGAGGAAACCACGAGCCAAAGACCTAGCACTTCTGTTCGGGGTGTCCTGTCTGAAGATTTAATATACGATATAATATAAGTATAGTGTAGGGTTGCCCAGCCAGGTGAATCCTTGGAAGCAGCTGGTAAGACTAAAACCTCTCTGCCCAGGGTTCCAGTACGCAACGAACACGAACTTGACTCCCATGAAGCCTTCAAGAGCTTCAGGACGTTTTGATAGGGCTAACAATGTGGATCAATCAGTTTTTCCTGTGGTTGCTCCAATTTGCATGACCCACTCATGTTCGGAGAACCATTCCCACACCAATGGCTCCATCCCACCGGCGAACAACTCCACTGAAACAGGATGAGCGCCCACTGCCGCCGCTCACGGGGACAGCGAGAGCCAAAGAGCTCAACCGCGCCCTGCGGCGCTTGGTCTGCGGCGGCGCCGGACAGATCAACGAGCTCGATCGGCGCCGGTCTGAGGGGCTTTGGAAGCTGAAAGTGATAGGGGGGAGGAGTAAAAAACCGAAAAGGAACTGGAATGGCCTCCAACCTACTGGCGATGGCCTCCACCTAGTAGCTTATATATTCTAGTTACTAGAAAGTTCGTAGAACCTGATACTGCATATCGCCAACCAAAGCCCCTGGGTCCGACCGCACCCGTTGGCCACGCTGGAAGCCCCAGGTGCGGCGCCGCCGCGCGCGCGGAGCGCTACGAGGATCGCGCCGAGAAGCGACGGCGGTTGCATCCGGTAGAGTGGGAGCCGCCTGCGCCGGGGCCAACCAGTGCGGCGCCGAACAGGGAAGCGGAAGCCTTGCCGTTGCCCGTGCCGGTGCAGGTGGGGCAATGAGGGTGTTGGAAAGAAAGACTTGAGAATGTATTGCTTTGGGAATCAGACGGAACAATCCGGCGGTTGTTTCATCGAAACATACGGAAGGATGAGGGGGGCCTTTCGAAGAAAGCTGCGCCTCCGTTAGCTGCCCTATTTTTCACTCTGACATGGATGACATGGATGACGTTTCCTGTTCCGTCAAGTCGAGTCGCTTCTTCCGCTCTTCTTTTCATGTTCGTGGTCCGGCGTCGCGAGTCGTCGCGAGTCTGCAGGTCCGACGCTTCACAGAGGCGTAACGAGGCGACGCCACAGTCCATGGAAAGGCGGCCCAACCTTTCTTTGCAAATCGATGTCTCCATCCAAAAGAATAGAACAGGTGGTCAAAGGTCAACCTTTACTTTCTCCAGGAAAACTGAGGGAGTCAGGAACCTTTTGTTTTTAAATCTTTCAACACTCAAGAGAAGAACATGTGGGGAATCCTCAGTGGCTCCGAAAAGGCCAAAAAAGGCGCAGCTCTTGCAACTCTTCTTTCAACTGATTCCAGTCTTTGACATGCGGTGAACTTACCAGAGTACATTGGGTGCTATATGGTGCCATACATGGATTTTGCCGCGACCGCTTCGTGGTTGGCACGCCTTGGATGTACATAGAACGGCTGGTCCGACTGGGATGCTTCCTTGTGAGTGCATCACACATTTTCAAGCATTTTCACAGGTTTACTGATGGACTTTGTTCTCTAAATTCCGAAGGGCGATGCAGCAAGGCCTTTGGGGAACCTGACGACTTTGCCGTGCATCGTTGGACCAGCATCCTGCGTCGGCGTCCGGGGCACACCCACCGCGTAGACTCACCGCGTGGCGTTGTCATTCATCGCAGCGATGCGAAGAGCCGAGCGTCGGCGTCCGTTGGACCCGCCACGGCGTCGCTTCCACCGGGCCAGGGGGTGGAGAGGGGTTGGACCCGTTGGACGCACCAAAGCCTTCGGTTCGTCCTGAGTCTGCAATCTTCGGAGGGGTCTTCGAGGTGGGTTTGGGGCCCGTGTTACGTGCCTCTGGGACATCAAATTCTCCAATCGCCTTCAGGTCGGCCCTTTCAGATCAAACCCTTGGAAGTGCAAGACTATTTTGAAGAATGGTATTTGGATGACCCGAAGTTCGGAACCTCCTTTACTTGCCTGGTGCATGGTGGTGCCCGGCATTTGGACTTCTAGGGCCCAACCAGGGTTGAGACCAATGACTTGACCCAACTCTTTGTTGTGGTGTTTTGGGTGTCTAGGGCCCGTCTACCGTTCACACCAACGGAAGGAGCCTGGGGATCGGGGATTCCGGAGGAGCTTCTTGGGGGGATTCTCGGATTGGCTGAGGATCCGATCAAAGAACATCCAACAACATGATGTTGTAAGCTAGCACGTCTAGTGGGGAATTGTGTCAGCGGACTGGACTGTTGACCTCAGTCCTTACATGGACCCGGGACCCAAACCTTTTCCCACAGCAGCAGCACCCATTTCGGATGGTGATTGGCGTCCTTTGGGTGGTGCTGGTAGTTTTCTTTTACTTTTTCTGAGGATCAGATGGAGCTGCGGAATGTGGGACACTGAGATCCAAACCTGGCCTGAACCGTCGACGCGAGATGCAGGTCTGAAGAAAGGTTGATTGATTTGGGTTGAAGCCGACAGCCGACCGGACTGGTGCGTAGAAATCCAACAACTCTCCATGGATCGTCACGTGCTCCTGTCACATCAAGTGATCAATTCTTCTTTTCTGCTTTGGACGACTGACTAGCCAGGCTTCAGCTGCTGTGTTGAAAGCGTTTGTTGCCAAGCCTTTTTGTGACCAGGGCCTGTGACCAGCAAGCTGAGCAAGCTTATAAACGGTTCAGCTTTTCAAGCGTTGCAGTCCACATTGGCCTTGAAATATGTTGGACAGTTCACAGCAAATGAATGCCGCATGGGAAACAAATCTCAGGCCACTGTGCAACCAAACAAATGACAAGAAAGTGACATTAACATGATAAACGACAAATAATCTACGGCAAAAGCCAAATGAACTCCACCCAGACGCTCACTGACCCTCAAACTGCTACATGTTTGAGGTCCAAAACCCTAGTTGTGAGGGTCAAAACCCTAGCTATGAGGGTCCAATGAGCGTCTGGGCAAAATAGATAATCAATGATGTCCAGTCCCTGGCTGGTCACCTCACGAATCTAGACTGCGCGGGCCTTCTCAACGTGCGCGGGCCTTCACAGATGCGTGGAGAAGTGGGAAAACGTTTATGTTCCATCTGGGCCCAAAAGCTTGTTGACTGCTCTGGCATCAGTCAACGCTTTGATGATGGGAATTGGAGTAGTTTTCAACTAGCAAACAGCGCGCCTCCGCCAGGGTCACTGATAGCGCCTGGCTAGGCACCCCAGTGTGGAATGGCACATCGCAAAGTATACGGCGATATGCTCATGTGCGATATCCCCCCATTTTCACAAGGCCTATGCCCGCCTCCGAACAAGAAACCATCACTCCATTTCGCACTGTGAAGTTGCGAAATGCTCGTTCCCATAATCCGTCGTTTCCATGTCAGCCAGAAATCCTGGGACCAGGCAGCGCCCGTTTTCGCCCAGTTGCCCCACTTCGCCCACCCCTCCAAGAAAGTTCAGACAAGAAAGACTGTATCATCTCTACGATGCAACTGCAAGACGCCGACTCCGGGCTTCAGCCTGTTTTGAGGCCTACGCAGGCGTGGGGCGCCGCCAGCCGGGCTGGCTGGGCATGTGTGGAAGATCTATGGCCTTGTCGCAGAGTAGCATGGGCATGAAGAATTGAACATCTTCCTTTAGAACCCAGTGGTTTTTGGGTTCCATGTTAATCTGCAGGGGTATAAATTGGACCGTTTTGGGACCCGGTGAAGTTGATTTGTGGGGGGACGAAGGGTTCTTGGATGGAACCCAAACCAGCATCTTCCTTTCGCACACTGCACTACTCGTGGATCTGGCGCCTCTTTGAAGGTCCAGGCACGCTCACCAGAAAGTGTGACTTGTAGAACGCTCTTGGCAGGATTGGGTTCCCAGCCTGCAATGCCAGCACAGGCGGGCGTCAACGCGTGCACGCTAGCGCGGCGCGCTGGTGGATGACTCCACAATCAGTTCTCTCCGAAAGGCCCTAGAACTCTACAGTGGTTTCAGAGTAATTAGTAATTAGATGGCACAATCCCTAAAGGCGGTCCATATGGACCCCAAATAAGTCAAACACGGGGTTGTGCCATCTATTCCGACACCACGGACGTAAAACCGCCGCCATCATGTCTTGCGCCGCCCCCGACCCGGTCTCCGATCCTCGACCGAGATCTCGGTGTGTGTCACCCGAACGAATCCGGGTCCCAGGAGTCACAAGGGAGGCCAGGGTGGTGTGGCTCGTCCCCATCCGCCGGGGAGAACTGGATGTGATGTTCGGGGCACTCAAGGGCACTCCATGGAGAGCACCCCGAAGCTCACGTGACTTCGATGTCTTCTTTCCGCGGTCCCATTTGTCCCGCGTTTTCCATGGGCCACCGACCAACCGATCATCCGAATCCAAGTGCGTTATCGCCAGGTTGATGCATTGGTTCCTTCTTATTGTTTTTGTTGTTTTTTTCCTGCAAGCCAAGCTGATTGGGTGCTGTTCACCGACTTCCCAGAGGTCAGGATCCTACCAAAACGACACCTAACAGCACCACATATCTTGGTTGGTGATTGGAGTGGTCACATCTTTTTCAGGGTCCCAGACTTTGTTTCCTTGAACGATCTCGTCCCGCACTCGTCCCCACCACTCGGCACTCGGTGCTTCTTGCGGCGTGACGCGACGTCTTCAACACCCCCGGTGTCCGTTCGTTCGGTCGGTCGCCGTCAGGTGAGCCACATGGGCCCCGAAGGCTTCACCTTTGAGGCTGGGCTGGGACGGAGGGAGGGAACCTGACGGGCGCCCTGGGAGGTCCAGGACTAAGACGATCTGGTCTTAGGTCTCGGGTTGGTCCGGTGACCCGAAAATCAGAGGAAGATGCTTGATACTGAAGGAAGATGGGGCAAAAGAAGTGGCAAAAGAACCAAGTGGACTTCTATAGGGCATCCGACTTTCCGACTATCCCAGTTGGGTACTTTGCAGGTGTTTCGGGTCCTTTTTCAGGCGGTTTCCATACTAACATCTCATTGGGAGCTTGGCGGTTTCGCGTAAAGCTGAGCATGAACTGAGGAGCCATCATGTTAGTTTGAACGAAGCATGAAAAGCCAGATCATTTTGCAGATGCTTTTGTAAGAGAGAGAGAGAGAGGCATCGATCGAGAAGTAGTTGATGCATGCTATATGATGCACATAGGATCAAACAGGTCAGAAATTCCTTTTCAGATCTTTCAGAGCTCGGCTTAGCTACTCTTTTTGCCCGCGAAACGGGTTGGTGGTGCACGAAAAAAACAGGGCACCGGGTGTGTACCTTGATCGTTTCTACACAGCTGTGTACCCGGACCGTGGGCGTCTTTGGGGCGATCCGGACCGAGATCTCGGCTCCGTGCGGAACGACGTCAGGTGGTTCTCCGCAAACCGGCGGGGGCCTTCCTGGGCATCGACATGTTGCCGGCCTGGGGAGCCCGGGTGGTTCTGCGACGCGTCGCGGCGGGTTGACGGGAGACGTGGGAGACCCGGAATTGGCAGCGTCGAAGCCTTGCCCGATCGCCTCCAGCTTGCACGAAACATGGGAAAGAGGATGAAAGCCGTGGTTTCGCGCGGTTTGGTCCAGAATCCTTTAGGTCCGGTTCCCATTGAAACCGCTTCGACCTCCAGAATTGCTGGCCTCCGGGAACCGCGTCCGAGACGGGGGCCGCCCGCGTCGTACGAAGAAGCCGAGGCTCCGAAGAAGCCTTGCTTGATCGTGAAGCAAGTCATTCAGTGCCGCCGGCTTCACACCTTTTTTGGAGATGCCCGGGCGGGTTCCCCGGCTGCTTTTGCCTCCAAGGGTCGAGCCAGGCGTGTTTTTGCAAAAAGCGCCCCACACGATCTGACCAGAAGGGCAGAAGGGAAGCGGTGTAGGCGTGTTTTGCCTCCAAAGGTCTTGGGTTTCTCTTCGATTTGGGCCACCCGGATGATCTTCATGTATGTCTTGTTTTCATACCGTCTTCATTCTGCAAGGGGTGGTGTGGTGGCAGCCTGGAATCTTCAGTGTAAGGGAAGTGTCCGAAGCTCAGTGTCACGGATCGTCGCCTTCACCTTGGCCGCCCAGCAGTCCTTCTCAACTTGTGACCATTGCTGCTGAGCGCATCGCCGTGCGAGCCTTGATCGGTGTCCGTGCAACCGAGGCCTTTGCCATTCAGTCAGGCGGGCCGTCTTTCG